TCACACTGATGACCTATTGGAATGGCGTCACACATGGGAAGCGCTCCATTATGTAAACAGTACAGTCATTGCCACATTGCTAATGGAAAATCGAGGCGCCAGGAGGCTCGGGGACCGCTCCAAGGACTGGAAGATAGTGACTTCTAGAGTGAGAACTGAAAAAGGCAAGTTGGCTGAGAGCTGGAGTCAAAGGTCTCTGCTCACAAAGTTTATCCATGCACTTCTTTAATTTCAGGTTATGTATTGGGCTCTGTGGGTTCTCTGTGCAAAGTTCCTTGGTGTCCCCTTTCCAGGGCACCGCAGCCCACCTTCCAAGTGCCAGTGTGTCTGTCTCTCTTCCCAAGGGTTTTCCGGGCCTTGGGGCTTTGTCCACCAGACATGGAGAAATGAAAATCCAGAGGGTTTATGAGTCTCCACCTGCTGTATAAACCCCAGCTCCCTTTCCCATTCACTTTTCTGTTGGGCCAGAATCTCCCCAGTGATCTAGGGTGGCAATATCCTTGATAATGTGACACATGTTGATCATTTCCAGTGTGTCTCCCACCCATCCTTAGGTGGGGGCTTCCTAGGATTGCCCCCAGTCTATGTCTCGCAGCTGCTTCTGGGTAACCCAGACTCATACGGCACTGGGCTCTGGGAGAGGCTGGGGAGCACACTGGTGAGCTTTGATCTGCCAGGGCTCCCTGGCTCATGGGACTCCCAGGCAAGAGTAACACGCTGTGATGGGTAAGCACAGATGGCAAGCCAGCCTGTCCCTAAAGTCCTGCCCAGAAACGGAGTCCGCTTCTCTTTCTCCTTTTCAACCCAAACCCGATGAATCCCTTTTGACACCAAGATTGGTTGGGCAGCTCCACCCCTGGCTTTGCCACCTTCATGTGATAAAAGCAGATTCAGAAGCCAGGGTGACACCCAGAAGCCACTGGGAGTGAGAAATGGAAATGGGAGGGCTTCTCCCAACTCACCATCCTGCACAGCCCTCCTGCTCCCCACACCCCAGCTCCAGGCTAAAGCAATTAAGTCATTTACTGCCAGGACCTGGAGGTGGCAGTAACATATAATCACAAACATAAACAGTTTTATATGGTAATTATGAATTCTGCCTGTTTTTATCAGTGCAACCCAGACTGAAGATTATTTTCTGCTTGATATCATTCTAATTTTGATCCATCCTCCCCACCTCCACCCAACTTCAGAAGGATTAAGATGGGGCTACGGGTAATAATTTGGGATATGACAGAATTAAGGTGTCTATTTTCAGGGCTGTCGATTTGCCGCTTCACTCAAAAGTTCAGTTAAACAACAACAGGGTCCCAGCCCACCGTCCTGTGGTCTGGTTCTGGCCCTGCCACTCTCACGTCCTGTCTGGGTTTCAATTACTGCCTTTCCACTAGTCTTCCTGACTCTGGGGTCCACCTTCCAAACTGGTTGTGCCAGAGTTGCCCTTTTCAAAGCCACCAATCGACTACCCACTCTTTCATCTCCTGGTGGTTGTTATCTTTCCAAAGGGCTCCACCATCTTCCCAATGGCTTATACTCAAACCTAGGAGACTTCTCGTTCTTCGAATGAAGTCCTATTCCACCTGCTTCCCAAGGACACTCAGGAGTATCCCCAGTTCTCTATCCATGCCCTGGCAACCTGGTTCAAACCACTGCCTTTCACCTCAAGAGCAAGAGATGGACCCTCACTGGCTACTCATGTCCACCCCACCTGTTCTGTGAATCTCCTGGGGAAATGTAAAAGAAATGCCTCCTTCTGAACTAGGAAGTTAGCATTAGGCCAGAGAACGACTTGGCGAGTCAGCTTGGCTGCAAATGGCTTTCTAATCGCTTGCTTGCAGAGTGGTGGGCGGCTTCTGGGCAGCTGTACTAGCACGGTTGCCACCTCCTGCTTACCAAGCTCTGTTTTTATGGGGCTCTAAGTTACACAGAAAAAAGCAAAAGCAAGGACCAGAATCCCCGGGAAGAATGATGTGTTTATGAGCACTGCCTCCCTATCCTCACCGGGAATTCGCTGGTCTCAGCAAACGCAGCAATGGATGGCTCTGTTTTGCTGCAGTGTGTGCACAGCCTCCGGTACCTGGTGAGAAACCCTGCTGCGGTTACACAGTGCCCCGTGACAAGGCGCTGTTCCTTCAGCTGGCCTTGGAGGACTGGGCTCCCTACGGCACCCCACTCACCTGCACTCCACCAACAGAAGCCAGATCTGTTAAGACATAAATCATGCAGCGCCTTTCCATTGCACTTCGGAGAAACACTGGTGTCTCTTGCTGTGACCCTGCCTGTGTGCCCTGCCATCTCTGTGCCCCCTGCAAGCTCTCATCCTGTGCAGGCAGCCCTGGCGTGCTCTGCTCCTGGCAAGCTGGCCTGGTTCTGGTTCTCAAGTGAGGTCAGCTTTCTCCTATCTCAGTGTCCTAATCAAACGTCCCTGGCCCTGCCTCCAGCATCGTCGCCCTAACTCTTGCAGAGATAATTGCATGTGTGTTTCACCCAAATGCTGGTTCCTGGACAAACCCCAGACTACTCCCACCCAACCAAGCTCCTCCCAGCTCATCCCTGACCATCGCTGTTGACCTTTTTGCCCTCGTTCTTATTTGAAGTAATTTCATGTGCATGTATATTTTCTTATTTACAGACTGTCTATTCCTGCTACAATGCACATTCCACAAAGACAAGGATTTTGCCTGATTTATTTTCTACTCTATCTCCAGGGTCTCCTCACAGAGGATCTGGCACACAGTAGGTGTTCAAGAAACAATTCTAAGTAGGTGGGTAAATAGCATCTTTCATCATTGCTTGGAAGGCCTTTGGTGAGAAGTTACCAATCCCCTTCCTCCTGTGACTCCAATTATATATTTATGAGGTAATCAGCAATTGAAAAGTTCCCCGTAATAGTAACTGGAGCTTAACATACAAATAAACTGAACACCATTAAAGACGTTTTGTGGCCACTGGGGTGGATCAAGTGAACTAATCGCCCAACACACAGCAATTAAGTCAATTAACCATTTAGACATATGCTGAGCCATTTCCCGGCTTGAGTTTCCCAGGGCATCTGTGAAATTTGTGCAACTTATTTATGGCGTCGGCTTCTGGTCGCCATGACTGACTGGACTGATTGGGACCCAGGACAGCAGGCTGGTGAATAAGGAAAGTGTCCCAGGCAGAGGTGTGACAGAGGCTTTCCTCTCTGACACCTCTTCCTCCTCTCCCCGGAGGAGCCACGTGGATGGGAGAGGTGATTTTTCTCACTGTCGATTAGCTCCCTAAGCACCTCTGGGGCTGTGTTTAATACCTGTGTGATTCACTCAGGGAAGGATGAAAAGGAATCAGAAGGCCCTGGGTGCAAATCCTGACTTTACCAAGAAGTAACCAAGGGGAAACGTGCTCATCTGGAAAACAGGAGGGCGGAGCCTGTCTCCTTGGTTAAGGGCAACAGTTACTGGTTACAAAGAGTGTAAAGTCTTTAAAGCGTGCTCAGCCCAGGGAAAGTGTCAAATAAATGGTAGTTCTGATTTAAAGTCCAAAATGAGGGGGTAGAAGGCATGGGTACTGGAGTCAGGCCTCTTCCCCGCCTCCCCTCACCCTTACGCAACTGACTTCCCCTCCGTGGGCCTCAGTGTGCTCATCTGAGAAGTGGTCCCAAAGCCAGGAGAGTTCTCTCATCAGACAGCAACCGACAGAGGTGGAGCCCAGATGTCTGATTCCGGGTCTCTGATTCTGATTTAGAGCTGCTTCCGCCTTGCTCTGCTGTGGAGCTTTATAAATATCCCTTTGAGGAGGTACACGCCCCCGGGGGTCATCGGCATGTAGAGAAGAGGTGTTTTCTACTCATTCTGAGCACTACGTATAGCCTTTCACATACACTATGTGATTTAAACCTTACAGAGAAACTCTGGGGGGGGGCTCTCTTACTTCCAAGGAAAGAGCTCAGAAAGGGAAAGTGCCTGGCTCAGGGAACACTGCCCAGAAGTGACAGAATGGGGATTTGAAAAGCTCTGCCTACGTCCAGTGCTTTGACATCTCTGAGCTTCTTACTCCTGACGACGTATGCTGCGCTCTTCTCCACATGGAACAGCAGTTTGCAAGGAAAGGAAAGCATCTCAATTGCAAGCTGAATCTCTGGCTTGCAGGGAGGGGTCCTCTCACCCTGCTGCCTCCAGGGCCAGCTGTCCCCCTCTCCTGCTCTCCCTTCCAGCCTGCGGCTCCCGGAAGGCAGCAGGTCTCTGACTGAGGACGGAGAAGGGCCAGATGGAACAGGCCCTGAGAGAGAGATGGAGCCTCACTCAGCATCAGAGCATGGGGCGCCACGCCGGACCAGCCAACCACGTCCCATCCCGGTCCTTCCCACTGGGGCTCCAGGAAGCAGTGCAAGCTGACTTCCCTTAACCAGAGCCACACTCTGTTTGTGGCTGCGAGTGTGGCGGGGTTGCCGGAACAGTTTGTTTCTGGCAGCCATCAACACCAGCCAGGGCCAGAGAGGGGAAGTAATGTACTCCCAGCTGAGAACCTGCTCAGGTTCCAGCCAGGATGGGGCCCTGCCCTGGGCCACTGGGCCACTGCTGGGCAGAGCAGAGGGCGTCTTCCCACCTCCTCCTGCTGGACAGTGCTTTGCAGATTGCAAAACTCCTCAGTGGGATGCAACACAGCTTACTCAGCATGGTCACACTAATTCTGACACATATGCAAATACGCAATTCACCGGTGTGAATGTCTCTACATATCTACCGATCTATCTTTGTGCAGGTTCTCAGAGTCTAGGGACCACAAGTTAAAGATGTGCAAAGAGTCATTCACTAGCTGTTTCAATGCAACATGATTTTAAGGCTGTGATTATGAAACTTTGGTGTTTGTAGAAATTGCCTGGGAACTTGACTAAAAATGCAGATTGCTGGACCCATCAGAGCTTGCATAACTCAGAAATGTAGATGTTAAAAATCACCACTAACTCGTATATTGTATGTGGGTTAATTGCATGCTATGTAAATTGTGCTTCGATTAAAAATTAAAGGATGGCGACTCTGCTGCTAGTGGGCCCCAGATTATCCCCTGCCGAGCAGGGACTAGAAGAGTTTCAAGACCTACTCAGCACGGAGCACTAGGAAATGCTACCTAGAGGAGAAGCTACATGGAGACTTCCAGGTGGGCACGGCAGGGAAGGGTGTTCTGAGCCGCAGCTCACAGTCTGGCACAGAGACAAGGCGGGGAAGGAGGGAACCATGAGGGTTGGCTGGGAGAGTGGGAGGATCCGGGTCACATACAGGCTCTGCCTCCAGACCAAGCACTGGGCATCACCCTGAGCGTCCTGCACGTCCTGGAGGGCTGTGACGGGAGCTGTGCGTAGAAATAGTCACAGCCTACCTCGTAGGGGGTGACTGTGAGGCAGAGAAGCTGTTTCTATGGAAACAAACAGCCCTGTGTTACATAACGCAAGATGCAGAAATTGTTTTTAAAAAGATCATTTCCATAATATCACCCTTCTTTTCAGGCCTTAATACCATACATATTTTAATTTGCTACATAAATTGGACCACAATATAGGCATATTCTAGGAATCACTGCTCTCTCTTGATGATTTAATGTGGACACTTTCAAGAACAGCACTGCCACGGGTTACACTGCCTCACTCTTTAATGGCTGTATAGTATTCTGTCATATTAGGGTGAAGTTGTAGCCATTTTGATAACCACTTTTTTCTCTTTTGGTACCAAGGATCAAACTCACAGCCTTGCACCTGCCAGGGCAGTTGCTTACACTGCTAAGCTAAACCCTTGGCCCTTCCACTGCCTTCAGGATGGGTAATTAAGTCATCTCCAATTTCTTTCTGTTAGAGTTAATGATGTTGTAATGTTCTCCTTAAAAAATATTTTTTAATCACATATATAAATGTTGATGGATTTCCTTTTTTTTTTTTTTTTTGTCTTTTTTCTTTTTATCGATACCAGGGATCGAACTCACGACTGCCTGCTTGCAAGACAGGCGCTTATGCCACTGAGCTAAATCCCCAGCCTCTTGTTGATGGATTTCTGAAAACAGACTTTTTAGGTCAAAGGACGCGTTTAGAATAAAAAATTAGTGAACAAATTAAAGGCACAGCAGAAAAGCTGAGCAATCTGACAGCTCTTCCAAAAGAATAATACAATCAGTTGTTCAAGTTATAAAAAGTCAAATTGTGATGGGTCCTGTTAAGCCCTTGTTAAGGTGGAGAGGAGAATCCATGTGTTTATAATCGGGCTGGCAGGGAACTGACTTGGGGAAACTGTATTAAAACTGCATCTCTCAACTTTCACCCAAAGACACAACATAACAAATGGCTGCACACTTTCAAGGCAAAGAACAGAAATCATTTATTCTTATGCTCTCTGAACGTGGTAGTCAAACTGTCCAGTTGTATACCTGCTTTGCTGAGTCTTCGTAAGCAAGACATGGTCATCAAGCAAAAGTTTGCTGATCTGATGGTTTTATGCTGTACCTGTTTGAATGTGTTGTGCATTATCTTCATTGCCAGTGAAATTTAGCTTATGCTGTGTGCTTCTCTGACCTCTTCTTTATGTTAATGCTCACATATAGTTTTATTCTTTACTTATTATTTTTTATTTGCTTGATTTTTATTCTTTCCTTTCTTAATAGTATCCAAGAGCTCTTTCTTTATCATGTCTATTAACCTTTGTCCAGTGAAAAGGAAGAAAATCTTTTTTCCCAGTGTATTGTCTTTTGTATTTATTATTTTTATATTTTGTCTTTCATTTTAAAATCTGCAAATATTTTCATTTTATTTAGTCTAGGAAACTTTTTTTATAGAGCATTACTTTGTCTTTATACTAGAAACATTCTCAACGTGACAGGACATAAAATTCTGCAGTACAGTGTCACCTGAGGGTCATAGAGTTTTAGGGTTCACAGTTAGCACTAGCAAATTGGTTTCACTGCAGGACTGTAACGCAATGATTTAACTCTGCTTTCTTTCTTTAATAGTTAAGCAATAGTCCCAATGCTACTTGTGGGATAATCTTTTCCCAACTCAGTTGAAATGCTGCCTTTATTGCATGCCGATTTTTACAAATCCTTGAATCTGCTCCTAGACTGCCTTATTTTTGAATAATAAGCAAAAAGGCCTCTAATCTTTCCCCAGATTACATTTCCTGGAAGTAAATCCTTCTGAGGAAGAGCCTTCCTGAATTTCTATCCATACAGCTACCCATCCACCCACCTATTCATCTAACCATCCTTCCACCCATTCATCTATCCATGCACCCACTCACCCTCCACTCTTCCATCCATCCATCCATCCATCCATCCATCCATCCGTTCATCTACATGCTCATTCACCCCTCCCCACATTCACACTAGTATCAAAGACTTGTGTGACGTTTTGGGTTAATGATACAAAATTAGCTTATTCTATGTGCTTTCTGCACTGGGCACTGAGCTATACAAATCACCCAATGAGGAAACTGTAGCCCAGAGGGAGTAATTAACCTGAGGGTAAACTGAGGCTCAGAACAGGCATTCCCTATGTAATAAGCTCCAAAGGAGACACTCAAACTCAAATCAGCCTAATGCTAGTTCTAACTTTAACTCTGCTGTTTCTTGTGCATCTACCATGTGCCAGAAAGTATGTTAGGCAGTGCCGATTCCCTGGTGTCCTAGCTCCTGTCCCTGCCTAGAGGAGATGGGGGAGGCAGGTCACTGAACAGACTGTTAGAAGCCAGTGTAACTACCGCTAAAATAAGATGGTGAGGTGCAAAATCTGGCAAGGATTTCCCTAGGGAAGCACAGGTTTCCAGTCTCTGTCACACCAGAAAATTAAAAGACCCCTTTCCAGGTGACACCTACAAGTCCAGAATCAGAATTTTTCAGCCCCGCCAGCTCTACACTTCCAGTCTGGCTGGTAACTGTGCCAGGGATGGAGAACTCTGGACAGACTTCTTTCGAGAAGAGCAGGCAATAAGAGAGGAAGGGAAAGAAAATCAACACCCTTCAAATCGGCCTTCTGGGCCTCCTAGCTCCCGAAAACCTTACCATCTGTCCACATAAGCATGTTCCAGAGTTTTAAGAACCTTCTTTTCATGAACTCCATGAAAGTTAACCTGGCCTCACGATATATGGGGGAAATCTGCTATAAATAGAGGTAAATAGAGATTGTAAAGATAAATAACAATACCAGCACGTGAGGAGTGATAATGTACTCTATTTATGGCCTGACACTAAAAAGGGATGGCCGGCGACACGGCGTCTTTAATGACTCACTTTTGCACTGGCAGCCCGCACACCCTGTTAGAGCACTAAAGATTCAGTGACACAAAAAGCTTACAGATAATTAAATATTGATTTTTGTTTTCTAATCCTATATAAAAATTGTCCTGCGTCCCCCAGTGGTGGTTTAATCTCAGCAGGACACAGGAGAGGCCAGGGTGTCTTTTAACCCCTTTGCACTCTTTCTATGTGATGGAGGAGTGTCCGTCTCAAGTGTCCGTTTGTCCCTCAGAGGAGGCAGGGTGTCCAGGGCGCCACCTGTGTTTAATGACACCCCAGAGTCTGGGCACAAGGGACCCTGCGTTTTGCACCACACTGGCAGTTAGTTTCCCGCTGGTCGTGTGGGACGCTCAGCCTGAGGAAGCGAAGGAGAGCTTTCCGGCCCTCGGCTCCCCGCTGCTGCCTGGCACACTCGCTCCCTCTCCTGCCCGGATTCTTGCCAGGGCTGCCAGGAACTTCAAGTCTGGGAAGTGGGCCAGGGAGAAAATTGTGATGAGAACAGCTCTTCTCCCACCCTCTGCTCCCTTCTCTCTCTCTCTCTCTTTCTTAAAAAAAAAAGCACCTCATTGTCATTTTGCGTCTGGAGTGCAGCAAGGGACATCTGGCAGGGTGGCAGTTTCAGGCTGGCCAGCTGGGAGGGCGCAGAGAGTGTGGAGAGGAGAGAAGGCCAGATTTGGAGAGTCAGGCTCTGCCAGCCGTTTGATGTGGGGTTTTAAGCCTGTGAAATACACGTCTGTGCCTCAGTCTTCCCATCTGCAAAATGAAGATATCCATTGTGAGCTTCTGCCTCTTCCTTTCGCCTGCCAGGACTAAGCCATAAACGTAAACCATGAGTGATCGCAAAAGTCTAAGTATAGAGCAGATGCTGGCCCACCTGTGCTTACTAATGGATCTGCATACCTGAACCCGTTTAGACCCCATCACAAGGCCACGAGGCAGACATAATTATTAAGATCTCCATTTTACAGATGGGGAAATGGAGGCAGAGAGGAGTTGAATAACTTGGTCAAGGTTGCACAGCCAGACTACAGCAGAATGGGAGTTTAAATGCCATGCCCTGAAGGCTTGGTCTCAGCCACTATACTGAGTCATCTCTATTTCTAAGGTGCTGGCTTTTTCAGGAAATACAAACAGTGCATGCAACTAAAAGTGCCCCGTGTTTTACATTTTGCTTTTAACTGGTGAATAGTAGTTGTATATATTTAAGGGATAGCATGCAATATTTTGATACGTATTCATACAATGGGGTGATTGGATCTCAAACTAATAGCACCGCCTGCATCTCACACACCTCTCATTTGTCCAATTGCACTGAGTTTGAGATGAGTCGGTTGCCAGTGCTGCATTAAATGCCATTTCTGCACTAAAGCACAGATTTGCAGCACACATTAGCCTGGTAATAACGGGCTGCCATCTCCACATGGCAAAGGTCGGCTGGAGTGGTGCCACCTCATTCCGCCTGTCCCCACACTCCCACGGACCAGCTCCTTTTGCTTTGCTGCAACTGTTCACAGACCTCACACACATCACCCCCCTAGGAAGTCAGCTCCGCTTTCCACCGCAATAGTGACAGCTCCTGAGGGGACAGAAAGCTTTACAGTGGTGTCCCGGGGTCCCTCTGTGGACGGATCACACGTGGACAGAACAACCCCTTCTCCTGGTGAAGGGGTGAGATGGGATCCTGAGATAGGTCAGCTTCCAAACAGGGCTCAGCTTGGAGCCCTGAAGTCCTTTCTAAAACTAGCCTTCCCTCTTCCTTCACTTTGGTAATTTTATGTTTACAGAATAACAAGTTTGAAAAAAAGCTAGAGTTATAAAATCCTGTATTTTGTAATATAATTCTAAGACCCCATAGTTCTAGTGTCTCTTACTGCCAAAACTCAGAC